TTCGATGTATAATACGCTGCACGCCAACGCGCATCTCTTTTTTCCTTATATCTATCTATTATCATACATACGTCACTTTTTACAGCGGTTCGAGATAATGAAGAATTTCGATCGCTTCCGAGATTATAATACGTGCGCACGTATTACAGATATACAGGTACGCGCGGCAAATTTACGCGCGCGTGCGCGCTCGACTTGTGTCAATATATACACACGCGCCGAGCGCGTGAAAATCAGTTCCTGGTTTCGCCCTTTCTGTACTTACATCTTCTATCTCGAGTACTGTACAGTACGTAGTCGAGTACGTAAGAAGGGAAAAAAATTCGATATTTACTTTCTTTCCACCCATCGAAGCTCGACGAAGCTTTACGAAGATTTTCCTGCTAGGTACTACCTGATTCGCGCAGTTACGCGAATTTTCGAAAATATCTAAAGTAGGAGTGCGTGCTCATACGCACGTTATATTTGTTCTAAACCTCCCTTACTGGCGCGCGGCGCTAATTATATTTGAAGATGGAAAATGCGCGCACACAATCATCAGGATGTAATGCGTTGTGCTATATGGGCCGCCTACGATGCGTTACACACTCGAACGACTTCGCGGATTCGTATGCTCGGTTGTAGCTTGCCAGGCTGCACACAAGAGCCATGTAGTCGCAGAAAAATTGCGTCACTCTTAATCGCTTCGTACGAAACTGTTTTTTGTGTGCGCTATGTGTACATATCCGTTTCTTTTCAAATCGCTGCGACGATGAGAAATGTTTTCTGCGGTGTGTTTATATAGGCATTTGAATAATCGGGTTTGATCCTGCATGCACCGGTGTGTAGTGCTTCGCGCGCGCATATTTGTTTGCTGCCGCTGCTGCTGCTGCTCTTTAAGCTTTACTTGGAAGCGCTGAATGTACGAGTTCACATTGAAATATGGTCTGCCGAAAATATGCGTGTTCACCGTTATGTGCTGCTGTTGCTACTGCTATGCGATTGCCAATCAAAGAGCAATTGCTCATTCCGATAAAATTCACCGAATGACATTATAAATTCTTTGGAGTTTATTTTCGAAGTCCCGACACAAACGTATTATGAGCGCGATCCCAGACACACCATAAGCGGAAATATCGGCGCGCGCACCGCGTGCAAAATGTACTGCTATATTCCCTCCGCGACGCGGCCTGAAGTACATTATTGTGTGTATCCCGAATGGAACGTACCGGAAAGTTCATTATTTTATAAAGAAAAAGGGTATATGTGTGTTAATGTATGTGTGTGCGTACGACGCAGCGATTGTATGAAGATGAATTTTCAAGCGTATACACAGCATTAAAGTACCCCGGCTCGAGGCCGCGCTAAATTCCCATTTTTGCCCCAGAGGCACCAAACAAACTGCAATAATATAACCTTTGCCGTGCATATGTGCGCGTGTATGTGGCACAGCACACACAAAAGGTCTTTATTGTTTCAGCTCAATGGCTGCGTACACGTATGGAAACGCGCAATCAAGCTGAAAATTCAGTGTTTAGTTAATAATTAATAAAGTGTGGTTTATCTTGTACGACTATTTTGGCTAGCGCACATGCGCTCCAAATGGAACGTAAACAAGCTCATATATAATAGTAGTTTTTAGCATCAAAAGCTGCATCGATCGCAGTATTTGAAATTCCGCGTGTGAGTCATAGAGACGCGCACAGTGTGTAGCTCGAACTATATACACGACTTTGAGAAAAACATCATTATGCGTGCACAGTCAAATTCTGCGGCGGGTCTGAACACGATTCCCCGAGACGCTCCTTCTTAGGTGCGCGCGCGATGTGTAAGTTTTTTTTTACTCGACTTCCAATTTCAAGAATTCAAACGGTTGTCATAGAAGGCTTTTATTGCGCAGAAGCCGCGAGTCCGTACCAGAGCTACGAATTCGACGAATTCAATCGTCGATTTCGGTGCGCATCAAAGTCCGAATCGTCATTTCTATTCATTTGTTCGCGCGATATTTGTGCGAAGCGTCATTTTTAATTGCATATTAATATGTTTCAGCGTATCATTTTACTACTACATATATACGGCTGAAAACAAGGATATCCCAGGCGCGCAATTAATATTAACGGGCGGGTATTAATCATATAATGTCTTTTTGAAACTCGATATTTGCCTTTACCCGAAGCTGTGCGGCTCAGCTCCCGTTCCAGCGCAGCTTTTGACTCTCTCTCTCGCTCGCTCAGCAGAGAGAGAGAGAGAGAGAGAGAGAGAGAGAGAGCGAGTGGAAAATCCGTCAGAGTAATTTACATCGTATCCCGGAGCTTTCGGTTCAAATTAACTCTTTGTAAACTAGAAAAACCCTTGAAAAATTCGTCATTTACAATTGAAAATAGTCTCGCGTATTTCGTAGCGAAATCGAGAAATACATTTATAAATATATTGCCAGAGCATAAAGATGCGAGAGTAACATCCAGGCGCGCGCGCGCACGACAAATAATCAAAGCGCTCTCTGGAGCTGCTGCATGCCCGAAATCTCATTGTCTCAATCTTCAGCAATCTCAATCCCCTTTTCTCCCTTTGTGTATGGAGGGATTTTAACATCGGACATCGCGCGCAGCAGCAGCAGCAGCGCCCAACAAAGTCGAGTCTCGAGCTCGTAGTGGCGGCACGAGGAAAATCCTACTCTCTGTCTCTCTATAACGGTCCTTACTAATTACCGGGCGAATCTCTGGCTCTCGTTTGCTTTAACTTTGATTAACTTCCTGCTCGCTTTTCTCTTTCCCTCTCCGCTGCAGCAGCAGCAGAAGCTAGTCGGTCGGTCGGTCTGTCGAATTCCCCTTACGGAAAGCAAATCGCCCGCGCACATATACAAGTATATACGTTTGCATAGATGTAGCTATTAGTTTGCCAGCAATTTAAATGTGATCGCGAGAAAAGTACAATATAATTGGCCGACCGATCGGCTGACGACTTATCTATAAGATTCGCATTTATACAAAATAATTATATTTCAATTATTTATTCGAGGTACGCGAAGCCACAGAAAGTTCGTCGAGGCATGTAAGGGCGGCGGTGGCGGCGTGTGTGTGTTCGTACGTGTAGTTTATTGTCCATAGATTGCTGAATGAAACTTTGATTGGTTCGGATGTAGCCGAGCAGTCCACTCGAAGCTCTCTCTCTTCAATGCAAATAACAACAATCCGGCTTCGTTGCTTGTCTTGTTTTGTCAAATTGCATGTATATCACGGACTCTCGTGCATTATTATATAGTCGAAAAAAAGGAGAAAAGCAACGAAAAAATAAAATAAAATAAAATCCAAGCTCGGAACTTTTTGTCGCGCGTTGCACGTACGTAAAAAGTAAACATTCAATTAAAGCGAAGTGGTCGGTCTCTCGCATGTCAAAAAGGTGCACGCGCCCTGGTATGTGTATGTATAGCTCGACGACATTATGTTACCGCTCGCGCACTTTTTTGCTCTCTTTCTCAAAGCAGCAGCAGCAGCAGCGACTGGCAGTGCGTATTGCATCCGCGATGTTTCTACTTCCTTCCCAAAAGGCGCAGAGCTACGAACATGGTATGTGTGTGCGCGTGGAGCACTACTAGCGGTTCTGTATCCTTGCCCTGGTATATACACAATGAGATTAACCGAAACGCGCGCGCGCCTGGGCGAGGCTCCCTTGGCATGATATACAGAGAGAGAGAGAAAGAGAAAAAAGTCGCGTACCCAGCCCGAACACGGCTAAAGGGAAAAAGGTGCTTTTTACGATCTTTCTCTCTTTCTCACTCAAGACGCGCGTACACGGTATATGTGTTGTGTGTATATATGTATGTATATGTTAGGGAGAAAAAAATTCCATCTGCTGAAAATGATGTGTTTCCTTTTTACACCGTCGACTTCATTTTTTTCTCTCTCTCTCGCGTTCGCGTTTGCTCTCTGTATATACAGCGCGCGCGCCTGGTATCAAAAATTAAATAAAGCTTTTTTCACGTTTTCTCAAAAAGAAATTGAGGCGAATTTGTCTTTCAAGTACACAAAGTGCGAATAAGTATTTTGCTTCATTAATATATCGCGCGTACCATATACAAAACGAGCCAGCGCGCAACGGCGGCCCTCGCTAGCTGCGCGGCCTTCGGACAATGATAATGACATTAATTTTTATTTTATTTTTTTTTTTCGAAATATAAATATAAACATATACAGAGACGAACGAGGACACAAGCGCGACGCTCTGCATGGTGGCCTTGCTCGAATTTCGGTGGCTTTGAGACGAAATTAAATTACTTCATGGGCGGGAAAACTAACGAGTCTCGAGCGTGTGTATATATTCAGCCGAATGAAAAGAATTTCATCACATATATTTTTTTATCGCATTCAAACATTCATTAAGGTTGAACATTCAAGAGAGCCAGAAAGAGAGAGAGAGAGAGAGAGAGAGGGAGAGACTGCGTCAGTTCGTTTGAAAAAACACATTCGTTTACCACTTACGTTCGAACTGTGCGTAACGCGGCAGCAGCAACAGCATCGATGCACATACCTGCTGTATTGTTCCCAAGCTAACCCATTGTTGACCGTGAAAAGGTCTATAAATAAATAAATGTATGCAAAAGAGTCCCGACACAGAGTCGGAAGCTTTTTTTTAACAGCAATAAATAATTCGATTATTAATTAAATTAACGGACGCGACTCCGACTTAGAAATCGCTTTGCACCAACTTGTACGTACTTCCGGACCGCTTATCGTCTAAAGCAAACATTGAATTCGGCACTCTCGGTAATAATAAGCATGTAGAGAGAGAGAAAGAGAGAGAGAGAGAGAGACGCGTGCGCGCGCGCGCAAGCGTTTTCGGGAGAGTATACAGCGATAAGTTTACTCCGAGACATCAAAGCATTCCATAAAACCATAGGGAGTATATATGCTAATTGGCGCCCGATGACGTACGTAGGCGCGCGCATCTGTCAGTCCAGCGTTTCCTATATAAACGATAGTGTGTCACTTTTTCACAGATGATCACGAGCCTTCGGTCACAATAGTGCGCCAGCCAACAGCAGTCTGAGCTAGTCTTGTCCCGTGCGTGTGTGTCAAATTTCCCCCTCCTGATTTGAAAAGTGATCGTTAGTTTGAGTTTGTTTGTTTATTTGTTGCTGTTTTTTTTCTAATTTTGGTGAATTGATTTGCATTCACCAAGATGAAAGTGTTTGCAGGATATTTTGTTTTTTCGGTAGTTTTACTGTGCAAGGTAAGGATTTTTTACTTCATTAACGGTTTTAGAGATCTAGTTATATTTTAATGAATTCCGTGAAAATTTAAAAAAATTTTCCAAGTTTTCCGAATTTTTAATAACTCCGGTGTTTATAAAAAGTAATGCCAAATACATAGAAGGAACTTAACTATGCAAATATTAAATCATATTCGATACTTTCAAAATAAAATTTTCAATGTCATCACTGTTTATGTTATTGATGATCGAAAAGTAGACTTGGTTAATCATTTACTTTTGATTGTTTATTAAATTCTTCTTCCAAAATGTCTAGTCAATATTTTTCCAAGTGCAGTTACGTAAATATTTTCATTTTCTTTTCGTTTTATAGACAAGCACGTAGCTATTTAGAAAAATATTCAGTTGAACTGTCAAAACAACAATTTTTGAGAAATTTAAATTTTAGTCCAGCGCCATTTGAAATATGTCGGTTACGAGCACTTAACGAGTTCAAGATTTTTCTCGCTTTGAAATCATTAGTAAATTATTAGTACAATAGAGACCACTTAATTTGAATATGATGTCATTGAGGATGTGGAGTAACCCACGCGCAATCGACTCAATTAAAGAGAAATCATAGTCAACCTAGTTTTTTTAATCTGATCTGATTTGAAAAGTTTCGCGACTACTTGCCGGGACTTGCCCACTTTTTTGCGCGTGTGCGCGGGTAAAATAAATCACGCTTACTTATAACCGTGTCGCACGTGCGTTGTTTTGTACTTGCAGCTTGCAAAGGCCGATATGTTCGCTTACGACGAGCAGTACAGCATGTACGATCCAGTACTGGGCGATCTCAGCAAGTACAACTACGACAGCTCATTGGAAAACTCCGTCACGGACAACGACGCGTCCGCGGAAGAGCAATTTCCTGCCTCCGAAGCCGAGGTGAGTTTACGTATATGCAAATGCCGCAGATGCTGAGCTTTGGCATTGGATACCAAAGATGCACTGTTTAATTATTATGAAATTCGCGAACCCATTCGAAAGAATGACCTTATTCTCACGATCTTGACATTTTTGCGCCTGTGCAGTCCGAGTCGAGAGACGAGCATCGCGCCAAGGAGCCGATATACATCAACGTTCTGGCGAGAGGCGCTCGGTGCGACGCGCAAATCGTGAATTCCGATCGAGTTTACGCGCTCGATAAGCAGCAGCGAAGCAATTTGCCGAAATTGGTCAGCTTCAAGAGTCGTCACTGCAAGTAAGATGATGCTTGATTTCTCAAGCGGACACATTCTTAAAATTGATTTCAACTTTTCATGTAACGCGCATCCCGCTTTCGTTCGATTTTTCAGCGCCGGACGATACTGCAGGGACACTTTGACGCCCGAGGGTAGAGTTTACGCGTGCAAGGACCAGATAATGAAGAGACCAGTAGAAGTTTACGTGCGAGACGAGGAAAACAATTTGAGAGTAACAAAGAAGAGAGTATACCTGTCCACTGGATGCAAATGCAAACTCAAAGATATGAGGACTTTGGATGGTTGTAAGTATAAACGAACTGTACTTTATCCTGGTAGAAATGTTCTTCATAAATAATGGCCTTGTGACCGAAAAAGGCCATTTAAAATATTTAAAAATAGATTAACATGAATCGGCATTTTTTTGACAATTTTTCTCTTACAATTTTCAAAATATTATAATAAATGGCCTGAATAGTAGTGTATATTAAATCACTTGAAAATTCAAATTGAACCGTTTTAAAAAATTTAGACCCATTTTCAACAACTTCAGCTACGATAAGACCTTTTTCAGCCTTCTCCGCTAGATTGCGAGTACATTTATCTGTAAATCTGCAAATGGCAAAGTCAAAATAATTGTATAAGGCAAAGTACGGTTTTAGCTCAATAAAGAGATGTTGAGTGTCGATGAATAACATTTCTACCAGTGTTTTAACTCAATGATTATTATTTTGATTTAATTTTCTTTCAATCTTTCATTGCAGTTAGTCCATACATAACTCATCAGGTCAAAAGAAACGCCAACGAATAGCTTTAAGTATAACTAGCTTAGTCAATATTGGCATTGTAAAATAAGATAGCAAAAATTTTATAAAAAAAAAAAAAAAAAAAAAAAAAAAAAAAATTANAAAAAAAAAAAAAAAAAAAAAACAAATAAATAAATTTTGTACCGCTACAATGGAGATTTTTTCTAAATATCCGAGCTTATATGCGCGATATACGAACGTATTGTAACTGTGCTTTTTAGCGTGGCAGCAAACAAAGCTCAATATATATATTCCGCTGAAAATAGCAAACAGCCACGCGCGCATTGCACAGCGTAGCTGCTGGATGGAGTAAGCTGACGCGATGCAAAAAGGGCGCACCCAGAAAAAGCGCATCCATGGATTTCAAACTGCAATTTAATCTTCGTATAGTAATATCCGAAAAAGTTGGGGAAGAGCGAGAGAGAGAGAGAGAGAGAGTTCAGATTTAGTGCACGCGCGCGCGATGAAACGGCATTAAATCCAAGATTTACCAGTTCGTGTAAATTTTTTCCTCGTTTTTTTTTTTTTTTTTTCGTTACAATTCGTGTCCCGAATTTTCAAGCTCTTTGTTATTATTATTTCTCTCCTTTTTTTCTCCTCCCCGCCAAAATACCAAGTTTTTTGCTTGGACCAGCTGTTCAAAAAGCTCTGAGTCACATTTGATCCAGGTTGTAAAAATTTTGTTCAAAAAGAAAAATTGTTTGTCGCGCACAGTTTTGTACTACGTCCGCTAGTTTCGAGCTTTCTAGCTCGGTTATAAAATCGTCTGCCTATTCCGCGTAGTACGACTTTGAAGAAAACCCCCATCGGGGACAGACGAATGGACGGACGGACGGACGGCGAATAACATTGCCAAGTGAAATCTCGCGATGACCAGTGAGCGAGAGCGACGAGCAGCAGCGAGGGGCAGAAAGAGAGATAGAGACGAAGGACCTATTAAGGAAGAGGAAATCGTCAACCGAGCTAATTGCCTGAGGGTAGTTTCACCCCACAGTGTCCCTCGCTCTTTTTCTCCCTCTCTCTTTGGTTATATAGCGTCCATAGGACGAAGCGGCATTTCCTGTATTTAACACAGAGAAAGAGAGAGAGGGAGAGAGAGAGAGGAGTGACGTCACCACGAGTCTCTGACTGGGTAGAGAGAGAGAGAGAAAGAGAAGCACATATACATCAGCGAACACAAGGTAGGAGGGTTTAACGAAGAGAAATCGAGAGGTGGATTGCGATGCTGCCGGGGCTCTATCTATAGCCCTCGCACGCGGTGCACAGTACCTACAGCATTATATAAGTCTCGAAATCTCTCGCTGCTACCACTGCTGCTGCTGTCTGAGATGGCATCGAGCTCTTACTCAAAGTACCTAATCGCGTGCCGCCGATGAAAGAGAAGGGTATAAGGCTTTAACCCTCGGCACTCTCGCGTCTAATTTCTTTTTATAACTTTCAAGACGCGCGTGATTGCCGTGCGCGCGCGCGCGAGCTAGAGCCTTTTTTCTCCTCCACACCCCCTCTTAGCTGCTGTGCGTTCTGCCGTTTCAGCGCTTCGTTTGATGCATCTGTAACGGCCCCGAGATAATAGCCTCGCCTGCGCGCTCGTTTCGGGCAAAAATGATTCCAGTGACCGATGTTATTTATCGATCGATTAAAGTATTGACTGCCGAGATATTTTTGGTCCAGCTCTATTTTGGAAAAACATTTTTCCGATAAATAATCCTCGAAATTAGTTCGCGCTCGCGCACACATACGGCCGCGCGCAGCGAGAAAAGTCATTGAGGGAGCATCGACTCACATATTATATAGCGCAGCGAGCGGATCACCATCGTATATTTACTGCGATAACGACCCAAAGTCCATAAGGCGCGACACACGCGGGAAACTTAAGTAAGATTCATATGACATATGGCGGAGCAGCACCGTTATATATGTCGTCTGTGCCTCGAGTGTACGCCGTCGCCGCCGCCGCCGCACTGCTCTGTAAAGTCGGTTAACAGTGCGCCTTACCGAATATACGTATAGGCATCGTACACGGATTGTGCACGTGTAATCGTAAATTTAATCGGACAAATTTCTAGACCATACGTGTGATCTGTGGAATTGGGAAGTTCAAGGCGAGACATTGCGTGTATACTATTAATAGGAAAAGTATATGAGCGGTTGATAGTCTAATGCCTTTGTTGTCTCGTTTAGCCAAATATTTATGTACAAAAGTTTCACGCACCCGCAAACTAGATTTAATTTTTTGAAGAAAAAAATTTTTTCAAGTTTTTCGAGCATGCGTATACATTGTATAAAAGTAATCGTGTTTACTTACCGGAACCAGGCGCCCCGAAGATACACGATTGAGGAAGCAGAAAGCACAGCAGTGTTAATGGCCACTTCATCTTCAATCTGTAAGCATCGAGTTGATAATATAATTAGATTTTATTTGCTTCGGTGAGTCTCGAGCATTTAAAATACAAGAGTTTATGAGCAATTTGTATAATAATAATTAACGAGCTCGAGTTGTGCAGCGCGTAACGTTCGATGAGCCAAGAAATCCATTTGCGTATCATTGGCTCGCGTTAGAGTTTTATTTTCAAGTACATCAGGTAGCCTATAATATAAAAGTACTTCGATCGATTTCGAGAATCGCGCGATACTTTTTATATTCGAAAATATAGCCATCCTATATAGGTAAACGGATCAACAGGACTTAATTTAAGAAGAGTTATAATGTATAAAGCTTAATAAAGTACGGAAATAAGTTTCTCGGGGTAGGATGAATGATGAAAATGTAATACGACAGGTAAAAGCGCACAGACTCGGTTGTCTGAAATATTTAACGAGCAAGCTAATTTGCAACTATGTATATAAATATATACGGAGCAGGTATTTACAAGTGCCGACGTCGTCTTAATTAATCAATCTCCGCGCGCGCGTGTTCGGGTTCACGCCGCGCAGCAGCCGAGAGCCGCTTGATAATAAACAATCAATATAATCAATAATGAAATCGGATACAAGGCGAGTATAACATTTTTAATCTAGTAAAACACTAGATATAAAACACATTTTTATATCTAGTAAAACACGTCGTTGAGCGCAGCATCCAGCATCTAGCAGCTCTATAGCGCAGCAGCAGTAGCAGAGCCAGCCAAGCCCATTAATCCAATCGTGACAAGAATATCTCTACACTATGGCAGCGGCAGCTTCTAATTGAATTTGAGCATCGAACGCCTGCCACTGCTGCTACTGCAGTACCAATAGTTCTTTCTCTCTCTCTCTCTTTCATCGCGTGTTCTAACTTTCTGTATACAGCCAGGAGTAATTCACCGAAAGCGCATCTCTCTCTCTCTCTCTCTCTATCTCTCACACGCGCGCCGTCTCTCTTTCGCTCCATGTTGCAATACACGAGCTTCTCTCTTGTGCGCCTTTTATTTATCTTTTTCCTTTTTTTCGTTGCGATTCTCCATCGTGCGCCGAGGTACCTCTGCTAACAGCACATATAGAGCTAATATCCACATTGTCGACGCGAAGCTTGCGCGCACCCGAAAGGAAAGAGAGAACTTTATTTTTCCTCTTATCTGTAGCGCGGGTGAGAAAGATTGGAAACTCAGACGTCTGTGTGTACTATATTTGTTCCTATATACGTGTATATATATAAATGCTACTGGTGTTTTTAAAAGCTCGGCTAGACACTGCCCGTTCATAATAGTGTTTTATTTAACTTCTGCGAGAGCGAGAGGCTGTTATCGCTTCATCAATTAGGACATCAGCTCGACTCGCTCGGGGATCGATGAATACCGAGCTCATACTAAATGCGCAACAGTTGACGAATCTCTCGATATAATCTCGCTATACCAAGATGGAATTATCCCCTCGATGATAAATAATCGCGCGAATGAAAAGATATTTTTTTTATTAGTTAAGATTAATAGGTCAAAGCGAAGCGCGTCGCATGTGGACCAAAACAAACATGCGTCACAACACGCCTACAACGTATTATAAATATATACCATGGAAAGTAAACATGTTTACCATAATATAACAGCACGTAATAAAGTAATGCGCACAAAGAGATAAATGCTCGTGTTTATAACGTTAGCTCGGTGTATAATAACATAACACATGAGACCCATGAAGAGTCTAGTGTGCAATCGTCACTGTCATCGTATTATTTTGACGTATATAATACGCGCAAAAGACGTTCCACGCGCAGCGCGTGATAAATAGCGATGCACGCGCATTGTAGTTGCAGTAGCAGTAGTTGTGGCAGTGTTGGAGGGGCTTCGCAGCGAGGGAAGAAACAAAAGCGCAAAGCGATAATAACTCATATATACTCGTTCGACGATTCTATATTACTCACTGCACACTGGATGATGAATCTCTCGCTCTCTCTGTAATATATAATACATGTTGTATACGGCATGCGCTTGAGGCACACATATATATATAGATGTGTATAATAGTATGAGTGAGCTTGTGTGTATATAATGCATCCGAGCGACTGCTCATTTACAAATAGCTCTCTATGCTCCACATTCAAATGCATATGTGCTTTTGCGTGTACACCTATACACGCGCGCGTACATGTACGCGCATTAATATGTATAATACACGCATATGTGCGCGTACACACACGGGGCTGTAGTGCAAGGCCGACATTAACGGCGTTGCGGAGTCTGCTGCGTTACACACATATACGCACTCTGTATCCAAACGATGTGCCGCTGCTGCTGCAGTATGTGTTGTATGCGTCGTGTGGTAACCGCTTGCGGCAGACGAAATGTTGTGTATATGATGATTATGACGACGACGACGACGACGTCAACGATGGGAGGCTAGTTACATATACGCACTATATGTACCTACGCACAAACACACGCACACGTACACAGCGGAATAGTCGTGGCTGCTCTTAATTAGGAAAAAAAATACCCCGAGAGCTAAACTGCTCCGGAGCTGCGCCTAGTTGTTGCAGTTTTTATATGCGATTACCGTCCGGTATATATACGCGCGAGACACGGTTCTCGTTTTCCTTTTTCTTTGCTCTCTTCTTCTTCTTCGTCTTCTTTTTTTCCCCCTATTTTGTTATTTTCCTCTGAGCCGTATACGCGCGCGCGCCGTAACTTTTTTTGTCCTGAAAAGTTCCAGGTGCTTTTGGCCTCGTTGAATGATCAAATTTACCGTAGACACTCGCCAGGACGACGCGCGCATGATACACAACAATGCTGCCGAGTTCGTCTTGGTCGATCGATCCGTTTATACGTAAAGCTTGCGATGTGCAGCAATACGGCAGAATACAGGAATTAATATACTCCTCGATGAGCTTGTGATGAATTTCGAAACATTCGGTGAAAAAAGAGACTCGCTCGCTCATGTCTCTCTCTCTCTTTATCTCAATCATCTTCTCGGACACGCGCAGTTATGGAAATTAATTATCGAAGCTCATCCGCATTATATACGCGTGCTGCGCTGCGCCCAGCCGGGTTGAGGGATGAATGTGCGCAAAAAAAGAAGTGTAATTAAGGCGACAAAATCAAAAGTTGTACAAGCTATTTATCATCCGTTTTAATTAGTTCGAGAGGAGGAGAGAGAGATGGAGAGCTAGATGGTAAGAGGAGTATGAAACTGGGGTTTGAGGGTTTTTCAAAAAAAAAAGGAAGAAGAAAATATTTTAAAAACTCCCTCAACGAATCGGAAGTGCGGCTTTTTACTTTCTACCGCGCGCTTGCTCCTCTTTCTCGACGCGCTCTCGCATCATATTGCGCGTAGTATATGTCTTCATCAACGCGGCGCACGCGACTGGCCTCAGATGAGAGGCAGAGAGATAGAGATAGAGAGAGAGAGAGAGTGAGTTGGGTATTTAAAGCGGTGTGTTTGCTTAATTATGTCATTACATACGCGAACTTGACCGTATTGCCCTGTAGCGGTGATTCATACGAGCAGCACACGATGATGTTTTTTATTTGTGACATTTACATGAGAGATTTATCTCTCTCTCCTTTTTTTCATTTTGTTTTCAACGAACTATCAAAGCAAACGAGTACATCAGCGCTAAAGCAATTTATAACCCGCGTTAACGAAACCGATCGGAATTACGCATAGATAGTGAAATGCGACTATGCTAAAGTATGCGCGCCCTTTTGACTGTAAAATATCAGCAATAAACACGAGTGCCGGGGATACGTATACATGTACGAGTTTTGTTTTGATTTCGTCGCTGTAAATGCGCGCGTGGATACGTGTAACGAGAAAATTAGATTCGTCGACTTTGTGAAAAGTTATCGGACCATTTGGAATGATTACATATTCATAGATATGTACCGTGGTACGCGTAGCAGTATAAGCTCTCGTCGATGCCGATAGACGGCCTCGTGCGTTTGATCAAAGATACATCGGGCGAGGGGGTACGTATAGACGATGAGCGAAATAAAAAAGAAATTTGACATAAATATTTTAGTTGCATTTCGTATAATAGAAGCAATCACTCGATAAAAGCTTTCTCTCTCTCTCCCTCTGGCGCACGCTCGTGTATAAACCAACTGTATCTCTATCTCTCAACAAATTCCTCTTGTCTGGCGCTAATCAGGCAGCAGCTCTTCTTGCAGTCGTGAGAGGAAATTCAGCTTTCGAACATAATCGATCCTCCCTGCAACCCCCTTCAAACTACCCACGCACACCCTCACGTATACATGGGGTGCTATATATGTTCGTACGTACATTCATACACACACACACACCTGGAGGTCGAGATAGATATCTCTGTAGCCAAGCCAAGACGAACGATGAGATGAAACCGAGAATGGCTCAAGAGAGAAGATTGGATCTTGCGGCCTTGCTCTTCTCTCTCTCTCTCTCTTGCTCCATATACATATATAGCGAAACGTCTGCGAATAATGGACACTATCGTGCGGCTACAGAAAGCGAGAGAGAGAGAGAGAAACTGAATTTGCCATTGCCTGTACGCGAGCGCGTCGAGCATTACCAACAGATGTCTGCAGGATTAACGTGCAGCTCTGCTCTCACTCTCCTCTATGTATGTGTGTGTGTGCGTATGTCTATGTGTGTGTGTGCAGGTTAGCTGCGCGCAAAGGTGGAACTATGCAAATGTTCTCTGCATTCGATATTAATTCATACATACGGATTGTCTATGTCTATGACATATACCCCATTTTCTTGTGGATGAGTGTGTGTATGTATGCGCTTCGGCTTACTTATTGTATTTTGTTACAAAGACCGACGTGGAGGAGAGCACAGGTATATATGTGTGTGCGCAGGGAGAAACTCTAATGGAGCTTGACAATGTTTTAGTTTTTGTTAGACGGAGCTCGTACATTATATATACGTATAGAGAAGCCTCGAGTGCAAATGGTTTCGAGGCGGTGGCGGGGGCAGGGGGGAGTGAAATTATTATTCAGCGACTATTGCAGAAATATTAATGTCGCTTTTTGTCCGGAGTACAGTTGGCCAACCACCCCCTGTATGCAAGAAGCAGCGAAAGCCGAACAAAGTGTACTGCACTCCGAAGGACTTGATAAATAGGTTTTATTCCAAAGATTATTTATAACGGAGTCACGCGTTACATTTAAAGTTGCAATATCCGAGCATATACCTACAGCCGCGTGTATACAGAATGGGAATCAAGGCAAAAGCCACCACGTCGCGTGCACGTTACGCTGCTTTTTTTCATCATCCGTGTGCGCTTTTTTTTTTGTTCCTTGGGTTCTTTTATTGTTTCCTCAATCTTGGAAATATATGCATGCATCGGTAGAAAAATAGTCGAGCGTTGGCATTTATATGTACATGTAGCTATATACACCGTATCTACGGGAACGTTGACAATTTGTTTCCGCTTCGACGATCGATTCTTATATATGCGCGTTGTTATGTACAAGATAAGCATCGTTGCGCTGAATTGTGTATATCTGACTTCGACAACGCGTGTCTCTTTCTCTCTCTCTTTCTTTCTCTCTTTCTCGCACGTTCTCACACTGGCGCAGTAGATGGGAAATTTTGTTATTTTACGTTTGTTTTGTTTTTTTTTCAACTTGCACAATGCGTACCGACTGCGGAACAAGTGGAAGTATGTTAGCTAAATAAGTCAGAGATTCGTGCATGAAATTTCTTGGTAAAATGTATGGATTTTACGCTTTTACAGATACTAGTTGCTCCACAATTCCGAAAACTCAACTTGACTGGTATTCGCGGAAAGTTATCATTTGCCGAGGATGAATGTTTTTATTTTGTCTATAATGCTCTTTGTGAGTCGATCGGTGTCTTATTACTAAAAAATTTGAAAACAATCTCTTGATAATAAAAATAAGTAAAAGATGGAGCCAATGTTATAGAATTTGATACTATCAACGCATTACCCAAGCCGTCAACGATGAAAAAGGAAAGGATATTTTTACGTCCTATAGATGAAAGACCCGAAGTGATTTATGGCCTCGCACGAGCTCGCGACATTTGTAATAAGCCCGTGCAATCGTTTGTCGATGCATGTAATTGTGCACAAGGCTACCGTGACGATTATACATTGTACTATACGTATAGGTGCACGACGATATTAAAGTGTCCCTCTGTGCACTGCTATCTGCGCATCGGACAGCGAAAGAGACAGATGTATTATAGTTGGAACATGTAAGCGAGGACAAGCCGAGCCGGACTAATATTTGAGCAATTCTAAATGGCGGATTATTCGCGGACCGATATTATTAAAGAGGACCCTGCTCTGCAATGTGATTGGAAATGAAGTGAAATATGCACGTAATAATGTCAATGCCTACATATATAGTACGCGTGGTGGATCCAACAAACTTGGAAATCCGAATATATGTGGGACTGTGTGTGTGTACGTCGGGAAGCCTGGTGCCAAAGCGGCCATAAAGCAAACTTTTGATTTATTCCGACTGATTGATTTTCGAACGCAGAGGAGGGAGGATTGCAGTTCGTACTAGTTTTTTTCGGTTAGATGTTGTTTGTGTAGAGAGAGAGAGAGAGAGAGAAAGACAGGCAAAGTGGATAAGGGAATTATAATCGCCTATTTCCTGTACAACAGGCTAGTTTATAGCCTAGTACAAGGCACCAAACGATCAAACAATGAGCGTCGTTGTTTTTGAATCAAATCAGGCGAAAGTGTGTATCGCGACTGATGTATTCACCGTCGCGTCGCGCTTTACCATGCACACTTTGTTTTTTCGTCGTTTATTCGTCGATTGTTTTGGGTCCGGTCTCGAATTACAGTATCGTTCCAATTCCAACGACGCATTCGGCGAATAATGGAGATCAATATAGCACCCGAGAGTCTAGACTCGATAATGCATGTAAGCTTAATATCGATACAAAAATAGAGCCAAACCGGGCGACGAATAAATAACGAAAATCGCACCAAGAATAAAAACCTCGGCCCTGTCGAGAGAGCAAATTAAGCGCGCCAATTCTCATTTACTCGGCTCATTAGTGCGACGAAAATGCACTGATACGCGATAACGTATATCAAGCACTCACTGAGGTATACACTTTATGTTACATGACAATTTGCCCGTGCACTCCTATGATACAGATATGACATTGTCTCGCTATAACTTCGAAATGCGCCAACTTTTTTTTTGCGTGAAAACAGAAACGAGTTGCAGTACATTACAAGCGTACACTTACAGTTACAGCTCGAAATTCATTCGAAATTTCGTGAGCCCCGCGCGCCCCCGAAAAACACGAGAAAACACGATACGCTTGGCGTTGACGCATGTCTTACTTTAATACGTGATACATGTAAACGCGGCCGGTGTGTACTCCACGCGTCACGTGCATATCAAAAGGGCCGACGACGACGGATGCGGTTAACACCATTACAAGATGTACCTGAACGTGCGTACAACGTATCCTTTTGGCAACGAAAATCCGATCGCTTCGCACGCGCGCACAGACGCACACGCATAACACACGAACTCGGGTCGCGAGCGAGACATATACGTCGAATTTAACTCAAAAAATCGTGACACGCACGCCGCACTCGTAGCCGACCACGAATGAATATTCAAAAATGCGAACTCTAGCTTTGTGTCCCTGCGAGTCGAAATAACAATGTATGACAATAGCGCAGCACATGTAAAAGGGAAAAGGGCTACTGCTCTCGTTCGCTCGCAATTTGGTAAAACGTCTATTGGCGCGCGTAGCAGGATTACTTCCGTCTTTCAAGCTTTGAGCTGTGTACCTAATAACGTACCTATATTGTGGCACGAATACTTACGGATTGGATGCGTATGTGCGTGTCGCCTGGCAACCTCCGTCGAGTCGGGATAGTTACACATGTGCTGTGCTGACTCCCGCGTATATACACGCACTGCCGACGACAGCACGTAATCCGATGTATACTGCAGGACACGTCAAATTCTCTTTCTCCGGCCTGCGGCATACGGCAAGGGGGTGTGCGTGCACGCGTATATCGTGTACATTATACGTAATACAATATCCTTGAATATACCCTCGTCATATGTTATTGAGAGGATGCAGTGGAGTATTTACCACTATATCCACACTTTTCACAGTTTCAACACTTCGCGATTTGAATGAGTGTGAAAAAACGCGGCACATTTTTAGAGAACTAAACTTTTCTTATATATCGAGGATCGAGGAGCACATATCGTGCTCCATCTGAAAGCGTCTTCCGCGGTTAGTTCCGATGAAAGTCGTTGGCACGCCGGCGCTTCACATCACGGCTTGTGAGAGTTGAGAGTTGAGACCGTCCCGCTATACATTTGCACGGCGGTGACACGAACAATACAATATTACCAAATACCATATATCTTCATCCTTGTTCATTGTTGCAGGAGTGCGAATTTTTTGCCTAGAAGTCTATATCCTTTATTGAATCTTTTGTTCTGATACGTTTCTGTCACAATGCGCGTAATTGTGAAGGTATATTTAATCGTTCTTATTACTATTGTTTTATTTTATTTCGCAAATGAATAATGAAAATGAAAACTTTGTTTTGCAGACTCTGACTGGCAAGGAGGTGAGTTTCTGTGATTTTCTAACCTACACGCGCGGAAACCGGTGACTGTTAACTGCCAACGATGATTTATTTTATGCAAATGTCATGATTTTTGCTACCGTGATAAACTGGTTGAAAATTGTTTTGATTAAAATAAGATGAAAATAAATGAGCGAACGGGTAGTTGTAAATTCCATTGTTTTGAATTAAGTCCTAAATATTTATTTTGGAAATTTCAAGCAATTTGATTTAAACAATGAGTACTTCCTATTAAATACACATACATTAATTCAATTCTGTACTTAATACATCTACAGATAGTAAGATAACAGAAAAAGCTAATAGATTATCAATAAAATTATTAATATATCTCATTTTTATTACAACAGAATAAAATATATTTATTGACACTTGAATGTAAATAAATTATGCAATGTTTTGTTTAGATTAAAGTGGACATTGAGTCTTCAGAGACAGTGGAAGAGTTGAAAGAGTATGTTGAAGGTAAAGAAGGTGTTCCAGTTAATCAGCAAAGATTTGTATTTAATAGAGAGCAGTTGTAAGTATTTTATTCTTGTGTTAAAAATTTATATATTATGGTACAGTGTAATTGATAAATTTTGTTTTATTTAGAGAGAATGAGAAGACATTACAAGATTACAATATTGAAGATGGATCTATAGTTCATATGGTCCTTCGCTTAGGTGGTCCTTGCACTACATGCATTATGAATGTGGCGCACAATTTTGCAAAAGATCTTTTAAAAGTTGATGGAAATAATGTTGAAACAACGCAATTGAAAAGTATGGCAGAAAGGGCGCTCTCAGTTGCCCAAAGTCTTGAACAATTACATAAGGTCAGAGAGAATGGAGATAAAATCAAAATTAAGCGTCAATTGAAATGTCAATCAAAAGAGGAACAGCAATCAAAGTGAAGAATTTTAGCACAAATTAATGCAAAATAAATTCATTAAAATTAAAAAAATTTTTTTAAACTATTCAAACAATCATGAACAGCTTCTTTTTTTTTGCCCATAACAAGGACCAATTTGATTCCTACATCATTTCATTAATTATTATTGTAGAGGGAAAATAAATAATTGAGGTGTTATGCACCTAAGAGGTAGACCTTAGCTTGTATGTATATTGAAGCAGCCGCACATTACAAAGCTCAGAAAGTTTGAGTTCAGTTCATACTCGTATCACATGAGAAGTTTCATCAATAATTGCTCGTCATGAAATAATCAACATACATTTTCTAATTAGACTGTATTTGGTAAATCATTGAAGCATATTATATCCAGCTAAATCAATTAGTCGTCGGGTAAAAGTGAATCTGTATCAATTTTTTTCATCAAAAAATTGATAAATCTTCGAAAAGATGTTGAGAAATCAAATTTACCTAACAATACAATGAGAAGCGCGTGTCATGCTCCACCTGTCAGACTGAAACAGTAAGTGCAGGCACAAGTTAGTTGCCACTAATGACAAAAATAAAAGTTTAGTTTCCGGGGACTGTTATCAGCGCCCCGATGCAGCCGATTTTTACTCAACGTCCTCGTCCCCGTTCGTCGTTATAACAAGGCGAATTTCCTCCCGTAACCGTTTACACACACATTGTAATTACAATGCGCGTATTTGTAAAGGTATTTATAATCACTCTTATTATTATTATTTTATTTTATTTCGTTAATGACTAATGAAAATGAAAACTATGTTTTGCAGATTATGGCTGGCAAGACGGTGAGTATGCGATAGTCTAACCTATGAGCGCGAAAGGCGGGGAAGCTTAACTTTCAATGATGATTATTTAATTTCATGCAAAACTGACAATATTTTTCCTACCGCGGGTTGAACGGTTTAAGTGTTTTGATCAAAATGAGATGAAAATAAATGAGGGAATGGGTAGTTGTAAATTCCATTGTTTAAAATTAGGTCCTAAATATTTATTTTGGAAATTTCAAGCAATTGCATTCAAACAATAAGTGTTCCTATTACATACATTAATTCAATTCTACATGTAATACTTCCACACGTAACAGAAAAAGCTAACAGTTTATCAATAATATTATTTTTATTATTAAACCGTTTTTATTACAACTAAATAGAACATATATTTACTAAAAGCTTGAATATAACTAAATTACACAATATATTGTTTAGATTACAGTGGACGTTGAGTCTCCAGAGACAGTAAAAAAGTTGAAGGAGAATATTGAAGATGAACAAGGTATTCCAGTTCATCGGCAAAGAATTATGTTTGGTGGAAAACAGCTGTGAGTATTTTATTCTTGTTTTGAAAAAATTTTAATTTTATGATACAGTGCAATTGAAGTATTTGTTTGATTTAGAGAGAATGAAAGGACATTACAAGATTACAATATTCAGGATGAATCTACAGTACAATTACTCCTCCGCTTAGGAGGTGGTCCTTGCACAGAGTGCACTGTGGGTATGGCACATAATTTTGCAAAAGATCTTGCAAAACTTGATGCAAAAAATTTTAAAACAACGCACATGAAAAGTATGGCAGATAGGGCCCTCCAGGTTGCCCAAAGTCTTGAACAATTACATAAGTTCCGAGAGAATGAAGATAAAATCAAAATCAAGCATCAATTGAAACTTCAATCAAAGGAGGAACGTCAATCAAAGTGAAGAATCATCTGATGCGCAATAAATTCTTTAAAATAAAAATTTTTTTTTAAAAATATTAAAAAAATGATGAATATCTGAACTATGTTTTTTTTCTTTTGCCTATAATGAGGACCACTTTGATCCCACTTTGATCCTGATTAATTATTGTTGCACAAGATTACAATATTGAGGTAGGATTAATAATAGAGGTGTTCATGCGGCTAGGAGGTTGACCTGGGCTTTTATGTTGATAGAAATGACCACACATTACAAAGCTCAGAATATCTTGAGTTCAATTTGTAACCGTACTGCTCAAAAAGTTTCATCAATAATTGCTTGCAAAAAATAAAATCAATGACATGCATATCTAGACTGCATTTAGTAAATTAGTTGAGCATATTATATCCACTTAAATCGGTTAGTTGTCGAATGAAAGTGAATCTGTATCAATTGAATTTTCTTTCAATAAAAAATTGATAAATCTTTGAAAAGATTAATTTTTCTCTACCATTAACAAAGACCAATTGGACCTTTAGTTCATGTCCGCTGCTGCTGCAGTGGACATACTAAAATCATATTGTACAATGTACAACAACACAATAGCATCTATGTACACAAGTTTATCTGTACCGCAGAATAAATGCGCGATCACAAATCAATCCATCTGCTTGTGTGATATTTGGATGCATTTATGCGCGTAAAAAAATACGACACACGTTGAGAAATAAAATTTACCTCATAATATGAGGAGCGCGTGTCACATTTCACCTACCAATCTGGGACAGTAGGTGCAGGCAAAACTCACAAGAGTCACAACTCACAAGTTGGCAGTCACTAGTGGCAAAAAGTTTAGTTTCCGGTGGCTGACACTAGCGCACAGTTGCAGCCAATTTCCAATATCCATAGCGCATATAGTGACTCTGTCTTCACTCTACACTCGACGTCCTCGCCCCAACCTCGACTGCCCTTGCGAATACTTCATGCGAATACTGCGAATTTTCCGTTTACTCATACATTTTCATTACAATGCGTGTATTTGTTAAGTTTCTTGTGGATACTTATGGTGATCTCACGGTTAGTATGCAATATCCTAACCTGTGACTGCGAAAGCCGGCCAAGATTAATTTTCAATGCTGATTAGTTCAATTTCATGCACAATTACTGACATGATTTTTGGTAATATGCGTTAAAAGGGTGATTGAGAAGTGTTTTAATCAAAATAAAATAAAAATTAATGGGGGAATGAGTTGTAAATTTTACATTGTATTAAATTATCTTTCGAATACTTATTTTAGAAATCTCAAACAATCATTGTTGTTTTCTTATTATATTTTAGTTCAATTCCATATACAATATTTCTACAGATAGTAAGACAACATCGGAAATTAACAGTTGATCAATACTATTATTTTTATTATTATTATATTATTGTCATTATTATTACTCGTTTACTGTTTATGTAACTAATGGAACATGTATGGTTTATTCAAATTCAAGTTTTTAATACATTCAACTTTGTGTTTAGATTCCAATGGACATTGATTCAACAGACAAAGTGCAAAGGATCATGGAGAAAATTAAAGAGGAAGAAGGTATTCCAATTTATCATCAAAGAATTATATTTCGTGGAAAACGACTGTAAGTATTTTATTCTTGTGTTGAAAAAATGTATACATGTATATTGGATGTAGGGTAATTGATGAATTTGTTTGATTTAGATTCTGTGAAGATACATTACAATACTACAATATTCAAGAAGGAGATATGATGTTTTTGGTCCTTCTACTAGGACCCCCTCCTGGTAAGAAGTGCATTGTAGGTATGGCGCACAATTTTGCCAAAGATCTTGCAAAACTTGACGCAGAAAATTTTGAAGAAACCCAAATGAAGGAGATTGCAAAAAGAGCACAATCATTTGCACGAGATATTGAAGCATTCTATAGGTTCAAATAAATTTGTTCAAAGATGAGGTTTTAAATTTTTGCTCAAATTGATGCAAAATAAAATGCATTGTAGTTAAGCATTTTTTTTTTTAAATTAATAAAAAAATCTATGAAAAGCGAAAATATAATTTGTCTTTCACCCATAATGTGGACCATTTCGATTCCTGATTTATGTCGACTGCTTCTGCAGGGGATAGACTAAAAGAATTATATCTGTGCGATGTACAACGCTGCATAATATGGCAAAAAAAGATAACCTTTACGGACAAGCATTTATATGTATCACAAAATAGATTTGCGACCAACAAACGAGTTACGTTCGTATGCGTAATACATCGATGCAAGTACTTCAAGGAAGTAGACATTTCTTTGATCTTATGTGCAAAATAAATAAAATACGTATGCTAGATTGAGATACGCGTCGCGCGAACTGCAACATAATTTTCATATTCTAGACATATTTCACTTGGCACAGTTCATTGCATGTGCATTAGTCCCCGTTAAATCGAAAAAAATTACCGATAACCAGTGGCGATTTATATGCCCAGTACAGTACTTCGTCTTGTTCTTTTACTCGTTTTTTGGGTAAAAGCGCGAACACGACTATAGGATATCATATTATATTCGTCAAAGTTTCGTCAATTATATTTCCACGACTCGAGATCGTTAACAACAGCGAGCGCATTCAATGCCCACCTATATACATCCTCCAACGGGCGCAGTGATTATCTTGCGCGATATTGAATTCTATCCGAAATAACGTGCTCCGCATCGTGCATTATAATTATATATTATATATACGCGCGCGAGGACATTTTCTCTCTGCGGATGCGCGTTTGTAATATAACAATATCTATATATCGGTACGGACGGGGCTGCAGTGCACATTGCGGAGTATAGTTTCGTTCGGAACAATGGGAAGTTTGCCGTGTAAATTATCATAATATATTTGTGTATAATAATATATAGCGCGCGATACGCAATGCGCCGTTCGTATCATCGAATAAATTAGCCGTTATATACGCGACGCCGAAATATCTGTAATTCGCGCTGTTTACAAAGCCACATAATATTTTCACCTGTCCCGGCTAAAGGATGCACGCACGAAGACGTATTGGAAAGTTTCAATCAAATTTACCAAGTAGGTAATCCGTAGTAAATCAACAAAATTTACAAGCCAATATACAGATTCTCCTAGTTGTAAATGTGGAATAAAAAATATAAATTAAATATATTCACGAGTTTGTGCGTTTTTTTTTATAACGGAATTACATCTTATGTATAGTCGCGTTTTCTATTCGCGAAAACATTTAATTGAATTTCTCAAAAAACTCTTACTTTTTCGTGTGGCTCGTAAGAGTAGATTATATACGACGAACGAGCTACTTTAATCTGTCAAGAGCTTGCATGAATAAGCGCGTGTGCGCGCAGAGTCGACACACACGTACATACAGACACATACAGACTAAAGTGTATGTATAGCTACATCTCTATGCGTGGCTATTACAATATAGGTACAGACTCGTTCTTCGCGTTATATACATGTAAGAAAAGGCGAAATTCCGTTGTCGTCTGGAGGACGAAAATTGGAATCTTGAGATTAGAAACGAACGTGCCAGAGCCCCCGATCGGGCGACGCGCGCTTATATTCTGACCTCCTCGCCGTCGTCGCTGCTACTGCCGCTGCTGCCTGCTGCTGCTGTTGAGTGCGAGGCGCGGAATGAAAGAAATCGGCGAAAGAGGGATTGTCCTGGAGAGCACGAGCTGTGCTATCGTCGTTAGATATATATCTGTATATGACTGTGGGTGTTAAGGTCCTTTTATATACGAGCGTTTGCAAATTTCTCCAAAGAAGAGCAGGAGAGAAACGAAGTATCGATATGATTGAGTGCTCTTTCATCGGTAAACGAGTAAGGAAAATACTTAGTTCTCCGAATCATCCAATTCTTTCATGTGAGGCTTGAATACTTGAACCAGGCACTCTGGGTTTCAATTTGTAAATGAAAATAACGCACGGTTCTTTGTACAAAGCTATCATTTCTAAAAAATAAAATTTTTATATGATATTTCTTAATGCTTGTTGTTGAAGAAGATTATAGTCCTGCAGCTGCTGATATAATACGCCACAAATCTTTGTTCTTCAAATTTTCAATTTCACAGCGCTCAGTTGGCGGTCGAGATTCCAAATATTCCAGTGCCCATGGCCGGATGAATAGTCTCAACAGTATCACATTGATTTTCTCACAAATCACATTGAGACATAAATAACCCAAAAAGTCGCGTGTCATTATGAAATTTCTATGCGAGAATTGTTTCGCTGCCTATTCAGGTCATGACCGGATCAAATCGTAGAGCGACAGCTTTATCATGAGCATTTTCTTTGTTTTCACGAAAATTTGGTCGTTCTTCTTCGACATACCAATTAACATTTTCGCGCAAAGTTGTTCTGTCGCATTGTTCTGTACACTTGAACAAACCTGCTTATAATTCAAGTTTTTTTAATTTTTTGTCACAAAAATCACTCGTCGTTTAACTCGGCAAGAATGAGAAAGCAACTGGCGTGTACGCACACGTGTTCGTGAAAGACAAAGCTGAGCCGCTAAGACGTTGTACCCCGATTACTTTCTCCTAACTTGGATTTGGTGCTTTGGCGCGAAGCGATGCAGCGACGGTCACTGCGCAATAAGCGTTGCAACTCCGAATTGACCGTAGCATTTCTTAGCCTTTAGGTAAGGGGAAGCCCCTATTTGTACTAAATTTTTATTAATTTTGTACATAAGATCCAAACTGGATAAAAATATCAAGATATGATAGTTTTGTTAAATCTGTTCGATTCAATCGACTATAATTTTTATTAATTTCTTTAATATTTTCGCTTCATTGTTGCTCGCGCGCGCGACTACGTACAAGTACGACAGTACAAGCTTGCGAATGCACATAGACGCGAGACATAAATATGAAGTCTCTCGTGTTCGCTCTCGAATCGAGACCTTTTCAACGCGCTCAACTTCTTTGTCTACTATTGCTCCGCACTGTCGAGTCTACGCGTACGCGTGAGCTGTCTTTCACTCGTACTTGTTTTTTGCGTTGTTGCCTATTTGTTCTTCTTTCCTTTTTTTTTTTTTGTACGCCCGTATAAATTCGAAACCAAGCCGAGAAGCACACACATGCGAGTCGAGAGAGAAAGAAAGAAAGAGAGGAAAAAAAGAGAGTTAACGAGAAGCGTATCAGGTGTATCTTTACGGGAAAATTCATTAAGCCCGAAGCAAGAAACAAGCGAGGGAGAAAAATAAAAGCTTGAGTTTAGGTTTTTTTCCACCCCGCCTAGTTTTTGTGTCTTTCTCCTTTGCATTAGCCTAAATTCTTTTTACTCGTCTTCGCCAACTCGGTTGTCTTGTTTTCTTCTGTTTACGCTTTCAAAAGAGGGTTGAGAACGCTTATCGCAATGCCGCTCGGCAAAGCACTTATTCGTCAATTCTTCACAAAAATGAAGACAATTTCATACTAAAATCCATTTGAATCTGTATTTGTTCCGTAATTAGTATTTAGTTTTAAAAAATTCAAATAATAATTAAAGTAAAAAAATTATTCTCAAGTATTTAAATTTTTATAGTAATTAAAATTATTAACAAAACATGTTCATTCAATTATTACGCAATTAAATAAAAACAATCATTGATAATATTGCTTTGAAACAATGAGCTTGTACGCAATTATTTTTAAACGCAAGAAAATTCTGCGCGCAGCTATGATTCGTATTTAGCGCCGCTTCGTTCCCTCGTTCTCGCGAAACATCTGCGCACAGTCGGCGGCGCATTGCGGAACGCGCAGAGAAACACCGCAGCCCGAGCGAAATCGCGAGAGAGCCTAGCCGCCGGCGCGCAGTCATCGCCTTTTCGCAGTGTCGTCGTCCCTGTTCGTCGTTGCGAGAGTGTTTGGGTGCGAACTTTTTGTTGCTTACACATCGTTTTGCTGGACCGTTACTTCGGGCACACATCTTTATCAAAATGCTCATCAAAGTGAAGGTATGTCTAATCGCTCTTATGACCATTGCATTATCCCATGTCGCAAGTGACTAATGAAAATGAAAACTTTGTTTTGCAGACTCTGACTGGCAAGGAGGTGAGTTTCTGTGATTTTCTAACCTACACGCGCGGAAGCCGGTGACTGTGAACTGCCAACGATGATTCATTTTATGCAAAAATGTCATGATTTTTGCTACTGTGCGTAGCGCTATTGGTGATGCTTCGTGGCTAGGCTGCTTTTTCAAGTGCTTTGTCAAAATACAATGAATAGTAATTAGTGAATAAGTTGTAAATTCTCTTGTTTACAATTAACTCTTGGACTCTCAGCTATTTGTTTTGAAAATGTCACTGCTTCAAACCATGAGTCTTGCTCTATTGTAACACTGTTTCTAATCAATTTGAAATACTTCAACCAACAGTACGATAGAAAAGACTCATAGCTTCTTCATATTGTCATTATCTATCTGCTTATCATAATACTTTTAAAAAAATGATGAATTGTAGACTTACGTGTACGTAATGAACAAGTTATATAATTTGTGTTTAGATTGAGATCGACATTGAACCTACAGACAAAGTTGAGAGGATCAAAGAGAGAGTTGAGGAAAAAGAAGGAATTCCACCCCAGCAACAAAGACTTATATTTTCTGGCAAACAGATGTAAGTGTTTTATTTGTTATCTTTATAAATGTGAATGCATTTTATTTTATATTTGATTGATCTTTTGCTTAGGAACGATGAGAAGACGGCACAAGATTACAAGGTTCAAGGTGGATCAGTATTGCATTTAGTCCTTGCCTTGAGAGGCGGTCTATGAAACTCATTTTTTTTACTATAAAGCCAAAATGACCACGTTCAGTGGCAACAACAACTTTGTTTTTTAACTCTAGGCTTTTGTAAATATATTAAGATGCTTATGTCTAAGAATACAAAGTAATTTAAATAAAAGTCACTTGAATAATATGTTTTTTAAAATGATTCTCGATAGAATTATTTTCACCTTCACAGTTAACGCCATGCATGTTTCAATATTTTAATGTTACATACGAGTCGATTAAACTATATTTTATAATTTATGAATTATTTAACTTGAAACACATAAAAGCTATCCAAATTACAGAGTAATATTCAAAAAAATTTTAATTTTTAAATAATGCATGAAGAAACGAATTTTTTTAACAATAAATTTCTTAAATTAATATACTTCAGAATTTCATTTTCAATTCAATTTTCGCAGAACATGAAACTCTTCGTGTTTCACTTTTAATTTTTTTTTCCACGTATAGAAGGTTATTTTTTCCACGCTCAGAGCTTTGAAATGTACTTGCTAATGAACATCGTTGAAGTAACCGAGCTGTGCGAGTTTTTCAGCGAAGTCCAGTGAAGCGCGTTCTTTGACCGTGGAATTTTTATCGTGCGTGATTTCAAAAAGCTTTAAAAGACATTTTAATTTCTGCTTTCGAATTTCGTTTCTTTTTCAAAAATATACGCGTCATTTTTATATCATCGAAAGCGTCCACGACTCAACCATTAAACGGAATATCGAATTCTTTTGACAGGCACGCAGCACGTGGGTAGTTGTCGCTCACGACTTGGTTGGTGGTACGCTACACACACACACACACATACACAGCCGTGTCAATATGCGACCGCACTTAGGTATAGGGTAGGTACACGCCCGGACCAATCCGTCGTATTTACGATTTCAAAGGCAATATTCACTTCAAAGCCCAGCGCCATCCTTATTTCATATCCAATTCTCATTTGAAGAATAAATTTGCCGTACACGCGCGCGCACACGCGTAATCCTTTATGAAGCCTTCGCTAAGCCCTTTCGCGTGTGTATATGTATATAATACACAACGAGTGGCGGTGGCGGCGGTGCCGAGCGTGGGCGGTGCGTTACTAACGTCCATCATAATTTAATACGCATAGGCACGTCTATGTGTATCTGTATAGCATATACACACGCACGCACGACGAGAGCTCGAGTTCCCGAATATATCCGATTTGCAGAAACACTCGGGTCCTCCACTCCAGTGCTGTAATCACTGCTCCGTGCATCCTACCTACCTACCTAGCTACCTACGTGTGTGGGTGTAGGTGCACACATTGACGCATGCACAAAACATACATATACTCGGAGCGACCCTCGCCACCTGCTGTAGAGTCGTTAGAGCTGCCGCAGTTGCTATGTGAGAGAGAGAGAGAGAGAGAGAGAGAGAGAGAGAGAGAGACAGTACGGAGTTTAAAGTCAATCAAGTGCGGATGTCGCGCGAGTAGCCGCATGTATACAGGGTTTGAAAAGTAGGCTTATCAATTAACGACTTTGGGTACAACTCCGCCTATATAAGCCACGTGCACTCGTGCGTTTATATAAGCCCATGCCGCCGTATTATATCCAGAGGGAGGAGGTCACTTTGTATCTTACGTAATGAGCTTAAAAACGAGAATTGTTATATGTACCCCAAGCTCGAGATAGTTTCGAGCTTTTTCTCGACTGCGAGTGAATTATATTTATGTGTATAAGTCTCGATGTATACGTGGGGAAACGAATGTGGCAGGTATCAACGACGAAGAACGCGAAATCTCGGTGTGATAACGCGTTGCGAGGGCACAACAATGTACCTACGCTCTTTATTATTTTTCCACCCTGCATGACGCGCGCGCGAGCTTGCAGAACTAATTGAAAGCATCGATCACGATGTACTTTGACCTGTAGTATAGCGAGCGAGCGAGGGCGCAAAATATTATATTCCGATGAGCAGCATCAGTCGTGTGTGTATAATACTACGCCTTGAGTGTATGTTCAAACACCGACTGAACGTATGAAGGGCTATATATCATAATACGCTTGGCTTACGCACTTTTATTTTGCGCCCACGATACTGTACAACACACGGCCCAGCGTCGCAAGCGCGCGGACCAGGATGGATGGTGATCGATCGTTTCTATATAATGCTCTGTGTGCAGTGTGTATGTGTGCAGTATGTTTATGTGTGAGCCGAGAGGGACCTTTGGACGGTCCATTAGAGTAAACGGAAAGATGCGAGGGGTTGAGAGACATCGACGGCGGCGGCGGTGGTGGACGGGGGGAGGAGAAAGATCAGCAAAATGGAGAAAGAGAGAAAACAGAAATGTCTTGGCGAACGCGAAAAAAAAGGAAAAAGAGAGAGAGAAAAAAAAACAATGTTGTCAAGAGGGAACTGATAGATTACTTGATGAACGGCAGCTCGAGCGCATCTGGAAAAGCTTTTTCCCTTCGCTGCCGACCATATACAGTGAGCGAGCAAACGAACAGCGCAAACCTTGTTGTGCTGTTCGGTCTCTGTGTGCAGTGTGTGTGCGTGTGCGTGTGCGTGTGTAGTATACAGTCTGCAGCGCAGCTAGCAGCAGTCCACAATGATTTAATAGTGATTTATGAGAAACATCGAGAGAAGCCATGGCCGCGCGTAGTATACACGAGGAAAGTCTGGCGAGAGCGACTAGAGAGAGAGTGACCGGATCCTTAAAGAAACTCCGTGCTGCTGCTGCGAACTTTAATGCAGTAATGGCACAGACATGATTTTGTACTCCTTTTTTTAAATTTAAAACTCGACTGGAAAACCGAAAGTATATATTACGAGATCGGATATAAAACTGCAGGAAAAATTTCAAGTTGAAGAGCGGATTATTTATGTTCAAAGCTCGATCAAAAATTCGTCTATAATGCAGCAGCATCACGAGAAAAGCTCCGGATGCTCCAAAAGTGAGATTTTGGTATAATTGGATCTATATACATCTCGTAATATAAACTCGAGTCATAAAATGATACACGTTCGGCTGCTTTTTAATGCCCTAAATTGGAGCTACAGGTACTCTTTTTGCTGCCGCGAGCCAAGAATCGAAATGTACTTTCGCAGGGCCATTTATACATAGAGGACCTTAGCACGGATGTTTTACTTGGCTTGGACACTGCAAATAATCCATCGGTTATATGTGTAACCCACACTGCCTGCGGTGCTATATAATGTGTGTGGAGCTTGCAAGGAGAAAACTTATTCTCTCCGGGAAATCTGAAAAATTAGCAATTTTTTCCGCTCCGAAATCGGCGAATCCCTCTTTTTTTCTCCTTTTTTTTATTTCCTCGATCTTTCTCTCTCTCTTTCTCTCTCTCTGGCCTGCCGACTTCTTTTATGCTCTTTGTAGCCCAGTGTTATCCACGTATAAAATACCCTTGCTCGCGACTACTCTCGTTCTACCTTTTTGAAGAGAGAAAGATAGAGAGAGCAAGAGAGAGCTAGGAAGCAGCCTCACTGCAGAATTATAGAACCATCCTCATAGAGCAACTTCATGAATATTTAAAATGGATATTAAAGGCACAAAATCGAGCGAGGAGGCGTACGTCCTTCATATCGAATTTCGAGAAGCGTCGAGGTACGCTCGTAGATAGTAGTAGCCGTAGTAGTAGGCACCTCCCGTGAGAGGGAGAGAGATCGCACCCAAGCGTCATTAAAAAGTGTATGCGCGCGTGTATGTATGCGTCTATCGCGAAAAAGACTCTTTTTTGCTTTCGCAGCTGGTCTCTCTCTCTCGTTTTTGCGATCCTTTTGTCGTTCCTTTTTCGGAGGGGCACATACACTGCAGTGTGTCGAGGCTCGCGCGCATGCAATACGCGAGCGAGCTTTTTTTTATTGTATTTTCTCTGTGTCCCCGCTTTTTTCATAAAAAAATCTGAATAATGTACATATTTAGGCAGCTTTTGACTCAAGAATTTAACTATCATCAAAGTATCAAGTGTTTTACGGCAGGTGACTTTGTCAACGGGTTGACGAAATGATGAAATACGAATCTTAAACGTGCCAAAAAAGTCTCGTACGTGAACGAGCGATCGCCGACAACAACAACAACAACAACAACAACAAAAACCTACGGTCGATTCCGATCAGTTTATGAGAACAACCGGACGTTTTCACGGTAGTTTGGCCGAGCTCTGTGTGCAACTCATCGCGCGATCTGCGGCCGCGGCGAAATTTTACTGCTTCCACATAAACACTGCAGCGAGTATTCGGGGCGAGCACACGCGTGCGCGAAAGCTAAACGTTATAAATGATACTTTGATCGCGAGCTGCCGGATATATCTGGTAGACAAATTGAAGCTCGAGCAGTGGTCGATGTATACGATCTCGTTTTTCGGTATACGCGCGGCGCAGGCGATTTGCGTGTATCAATTCGAGTCCCCGACCGCAGATCACTTCAACATTTCGTATACTGTGTACGGATTTTCGGATAGTAATATAGCATTTGAAATTCGTAAAAAAAAGAAGGAGAAGCTCTGCGAGACACGAATGCGGGACTCTCACCATGAATGCATATTGAAAATCCATCAAAATGTATATAGGTGTAAATGTACAATATTCTTGAAAACGTCTTCGCGTTGCTCTTTTTGCCACGTCGATGCTGCCGCGCTGCTGCTGCCTGTACGATGATATCTATATATAATCTATACATCTCGACACCACTTCGAGCCGTGCTCACTCTCTCCTCGACTCTAGTCGCTCGATATAATATTCGACTGCATTGGGCGCAAAAATACACACATTCAGCAATAAAAAGGCATTACACGCCTTTTCGATCGATCTTCAACCGCGCAGCAGCAGCAGCAGCAGCATGAGCAGACTTGCTCTCTCTCACTCTCCTTCTGTACATATATCGCATTGCCATATACGTGTAACCGTACAACGCTCTTGCATGCGCTCATGTTGGCCCATTGCCCGTCGATATTTCCTATCGGCAAGTATATAAATGCTTCGATCTCCTCTCTTTTTTTATTCCCTTCATTTTCTTCTTCTTCTTATTTCCTTAAACGTGTGGTGTCAGTGGGCGGTGAATTAGAGTCTGAAGTGCACTGGCACAAACGATCGATCGAATTTTTGCACGTATCCTGTATTATAATATTTAAAATTTGAGACGATTTTGCTGCGAGAAAAATTTTAATT